CGGAACCAGGGAGGTAAAGGAAAAGAAAGACCCTGCTAGAGAAGAACAGTAGGGAACAGACATTAATAAGGAAGATATGGATAAAACTTGGGTTAGTTTAAGGGAGGGGGGAGGGAAGGGTATACAAGGAACCTAGGGGATAAAGGGAAAGAAGGAGCTCAAGAGAGGTAGGACCATAGGAGAAGGGTATTAGTAAGGGAGAAAGGGAGAAAAAGGGGGCACCTTAAGTGGGATAACCATGATGGAGGGGTTAGACAATGTGAGAGATAGATCAAGAAATATATGTCTAGGTAAGGTTTATCTGAGAACAATTGGTCTTTTCCCAAGATGGTCTATAATAATTTGGTCAGAGGGACATAAAGGACAGTTTTTGCTCCTTGCCCTCCCAGGTGAACTAGTTCCAGGGGACTATGAGCATCTCTCAAAATGTACTGTAATTGTGGTTTGTCACCTGTCCTCTTAATCAAGGAGGCCGAGGAGACCCCACAAGATGGACTTGAAACAGTGTCCAGTCTACAAAGAGGACGGTCAACATAGTGGAAATATTTCCTCCATGCTTCCAAGCAAAGCCAGCCATGGTCAAGCAAGACCTTTGACTTATCTTCACATAGATTGAAGTGGTAAAAGTAAGAAGCCAGGGGCTCCTCCCAAGCCCATGTGATCCCTGAGGAACAGATCCTCAAATGACCTTAAGAGTAAAAATAAATTGGTTTATCTGGGCCAACTGTAGGGTCTTAAACACCCAAAAGGAAAGTATAACCAAAGATTAAAGGGGTCAATACAATTTTTTAAGAGTCTATGTGTATAGCTAAAGGCTACATAACAAGAAACAATGCCAGACAGGAGATACCATCCTTTGAGTTGTTGGCCAGGGTGGCCCAAGAGACTCCCAGACAGTAACCCAGCATAGGTCTGGGAAAATGAACAGCAAACCCCAATCTTATCTAAAGGAATATTGACAACTGATTGCTGCTAGATGAGGAACAGCTGACCTTCCTAAAACAAAGACCTCTAGATAGGCTGACTAGATTCACCAGATGGACAAGTAGTGGGGAATGACTGGGGGTGCCGGCAACACAGCAGACAGTAGCAGGGATACCAGAGTATAAGGGCTCTAGTGGAGGGAAGGAGACTATGGGAGGGTGCCATCTGGGAAGTGGGTGTATAGTTGAGTAAGATGGTATGGGATGTTCTACGTGATATACACACACAAAAAAAAGTCAACAAATTTTTTTAAATGTGTTATATTTGAGGAGGAAGCATAAAAATTTAGGTCATGTTAAATAGTAGAGGGGATAAACATTACCACTGAAGTCTACCCGATGACTTTATAGACATACACAGGCACCAAGGAACCTAGTACAACCGATTATGACTAGCAATAATCAGATACATACAGATTAGAGACGCATGTGCCAACATCTGTGTTAGTAGCAAAAATAATGAGTTTTTCTGTAAGGAACAGTATATTTTAAAATGAAATAGAGATCTTTCTTAAAAGTTAAAGAATCATTCAATTTTATGTCTTATGGGGCTTATACCGAGTTCAATATTGTATAACTGTATTAATTCTACTGTGAATCTAGAAACTTGCAGCCACTTGTGAAAGAGATGTACTCTTGCTCTGAGTGTGTTACTGAATATGTTAATGCTGTAATGAAATGCTTCTTCTAATCATTATTAAAAAAAATTTTAATTTTTAAAAAATGGAGATCACTGGAGCCAGAGAGATGGCCTCAACAGATAAAAGGGCTTGCCACCCACAAGCCTGGTGACCTGTTGAAATCTACCTGATGACTTTATATCCATGCTCAGATGCCAAGGAGCTCAGAAAGTAACTGACTGTGACTAGTAATAATCAAATATATAGAGACCAGAAACACGTGTGCAAACATCTTCGTGTCGATTCCGTTAAAAATGAGTGTTTCTGTATGAAACTGTATTTTAATAATGAAATGGAGATCTTTTTAAAAAGGTTAAAACCTCATTTAATTTTATGTCATATACAGTTTATACTGAGTACAATATTGTATAATTGTATTAATTCAACTGTAAACCTAAAAATTTACAGCCAATTTTGAAATTAGTTCTCCAAAGCTCTGGAAATTGTTATTGTATATGTCAATGCTGTTGTAATTAATGCTTCTTCTTCTAATTATGTGGTTACTAAATAAATAATTTTTAAAAATTAAAGCAAGATAAGGTAACTTATTTACACAGATCTATAAAAAGCAGTAAGATTAAAGCGCTACTTAAAATTCTCCCAAGTAAAAAATTACAAGGGAAAAAAAAAACGTGTAAAATTTCCCAGACCTTTGGAGAACTAACACTAATGCTTCAAAAGCTATTCCATAAAATAGAAAATGATTTTCAAAGTCATTTTTATGAAGCTACTCTTACATTGACACTAAAACCAGGTAAATAAGCAACAAAAATATCAATCCCCCTGATGAACATAGCTGCAAAGATTTTAGAGAAAATTACTGTAAACTAAATTCAGGGGCACACTGAGGTCCAAGGAGGTGAATCAGTTTGGAAAGGCACTTGTGATGATGCCTAATAATCTGAGGTTGATCTCCAGGATTGGTGTTAGTTCTTTGAAGGCCTGGGAAATTTTACAGAAGGAAGGAAGCAACCATCTCACAAAAGCTGTCTTCTGATCACCACACATGCACTGTGGCATGAGTGCACCAACACACCACTCATGAACACACAAACAAGATAAACTGGAACACAAAGTTGTAAAGAGAATGGGAGAAAAATATTTTCTAGCTGTACATTCAACAAAAGAAAAATATTATGATAGCTTGAATGAGGTGTTTACCATAGGCTCAAATACTTGCACACTGGGTCAGTTCGTGGTGCTATTTGGGCAAGGTCATGGAATCCCTAGGAAGGGTGGCCACATGTCATTAGGGACAAGTTTTGAGAGTTCATAGCCTTGTTATACTTAGAATTTGTCTCTATCCTACCTGAACATTGAGTGCTTGGCTTTCTTCTCTGACTGCCTCGTGCCATGCCTCTCTGATGAGGACGGACTCCTATCTCTCTGGAACCTTAAGCTAAATAAACTCGTACTTCCATAAGTTGCCTTGGCCATAGTGTTTTATCAGAGCAACAGAAAAGAAACTAATACAAGTACTGTGAATACACAAATAACCCAGAAACTAAACACAAAGGGTAAAAGAAAATCACAGCACAGGCTGTGGAACTGAACAGAGAACTCTCAAAGAAGAAAGAATAATAAGTGGTTAGTAAATTAAATTAAAGCTACTTTGAGATTCCATCTCACTCCAGTAAGAATGTTCATAATCAGAACAATAAATGCAGGTGAAAATGTGAGGAAATGGGAACCTTTATTCACCATTGGTAGGAGGGTAAACTGGTATAGCCACTATGGAATTAGTGTTGGGATTTCTCAAAAACAAAAATAGATCTGCCAGATGATCTAACTATAGCACACTTGGGCAAATACAGAAAGCATTCCACCCTACTGTGGAAAGAGATGTTTGCTCATCCATGTCCATTATTTCCCTATTAATAACAGGAAGTGGAAGCAGCCAAGATTCTAATTAACTGATGAATGGATAGTGAAAATATGGTGCATGGACACGGTGAATTTTATTCAACTATAAAAAATGAAATTATGGGACTGGAGAGATGGTTCACCAGTTAAGAGCACTGGCTGTTCTTGCAGAAGACCTGGTTTTGAATCCCAGCACCTACATGGAAACTAACAACCATCCATAACTCCAGTTCCAGGGGATCTAATGCCTTTTTCTACCCTCTGTGGGCACTGCATGACATGGTGCACTTACACACATGCAGGCATATTACCCATACACATAAAATAAAAATAAATAAAATAAAAATATTTTCTCAAAATTAAGTTATGAGGCTGGAAAGATGGCTCAGCAGTTAAGAACACTGAATGTAATTGCAGAAGACCTGGGTTCAAATCCCAACACTGACATGGCAGCTAACAACTGTCTGTAACACCAGTTCCAGGGGATCCGACAGCCTCTTCTCTCCTCCGTGGGCATTGCACGACATGGGTGCACTTACCTACATGCAGGCAATACACATATAAATATAAAAAAATAAAAATGATAAATACAAATTTTTAATTAAATTATGAACTTCCCAAGACAATGGATAGAGCTACAAGACATTATACAAAGTAAAGTACAGACCGAGAAAGACAACACTGTAGATTCTGTGTCATGTGGTTTGAAATTGACTGGGGAATGACTCTGTAAATAGCCTTCACAAACTAAATTTTTACAAAACCTTGTCAACCACAGTCTTTGAGAACATTTAGAGCCATGTGCTCATTCTGTTTACGTAATGTGTGTTGTTTGTTCAAAAGTAACTGACCTTTAATAAAAGCAACGCAATCAGTCTTAAAAGTACTTTGGAATCCCAGTGTAATTAACTCATAAGATAAGCTGAACACATAGCTTTAACCTTATACCGTGTTCTCTATTTCTCCTTTATGACCCATTTAGGTCCCTGACTAAGAAGACTATAGGTGGTCATGAAATATGTAATTCAACCTAAGACCACCCACTGAAAGTAGCAGTGACATTGGAAACAAAATGATGTCAAAAACAGCATGTTCTCTACAAATAGTGGCAGTAACGTGTGGCCATAGGTTGATGATACCTGTTTGTGATTTTGTATGCTGTTCAGTAGGATCAGAAAAACAATTTCTTCCTTTATAAACTTCTATCAAAGATTGCTTATAGGAACATGCCATCCCATGTTTGCAATAAATACAAGGAAAGTCCTTTTAGACAGAATAGAAACAGAATAGGAGAAGAAATTAGAACAGAACTCTTCGGAGAGAGATCAGAACACTCCAACAGATCAGGCTCACTCTTGTTTAGACTACTCCAAGAATTAGTTTTCTTCAGTGTGACACTGGCACAATGCGGGGGACTTAGCTTTGAATTCAAATAAGAGTGTGTTTAAATTTCAGTACCTGTAAAGGTCAGGAAGCTATGAAGGGGCCATTTGAGAAGGAAGAAGAAAAATGGGCCTTAAGGGAGTAGAGATACCAGAACGCATGTGATACACAAGTAGAGGAAGCGGACACTCCGATGGAAAGTTCAGGTGGGGTGGGGAAGAAGGTTAGACAAAACAAAAGATGGATGAAAAAGGAGTATGGATACCCAGTAATTTGTCAACTCATTTAAAAAACATAAAGGAGTTTGAACAGAGGTCTCATTCATGGATAGTTAGTGCTGATATCAGAAGCCAAAGGTTACTCAATGAAAACCCCAGGAGTAGGTTACATCCTTGCAACTTGTCATGAAAGTGCCTGAGGCCCCAAACAATATCGATAATTGCCATTGTCAGATGGTAAGACCCTAGTGCTAATGATAACCTTAAGCTCATGTCACAAGACCTAAGGACAGCAAGCCGGTTGTTACTGGAAGCTTGGAGGCTTCATATCTGCTGGAAAGCCCTCATAATATTGGAAGGTGCCATGCATGCTGTAGAAGGAGAATTGTCATTAGCAGTCTTACTCAGGAATGGACACTGTGTTCTATGCTATCAACCAGTCATAAAAGATGGGGCCCCTGGTGCAAAAAGGTCAAGAAGTTATAAGGGAACCAATCATTTTCTGATTGGAACTAAGATACACTCTACAAGGGAGAAATCACATCTGATACTGTAAACATGGTCAAAAGTCTGTGGCTGGAGAGGTCATAAGCCCTAGTACATGATATGCGCAATAAATTGCTTTCCAAATATTTTACCCTGAGGATCACAAAATTTGATCATGGCAGTACATGCCATTAACCTGGAACTGAACACAGGAGATAGATGCAGGAGTACTAAATGGCTAAGACTATTCTTGGCTATATAGAGTTCAAGGTCAGCTTAAACTACATGCAACACTTTAGGAAAAAAAAGACACTGAGCATTATTCAGCTCCTATACTTAACTGTGTACTCACCTTTTCCATTGAGGAACCATTCAAAATATATTTCCAACGATTCTGGATTCTTAACCAGGTTTGTCTTACCCCAGAAAAAATAACCGGACACAAGAACATCTCTGGGATTTCTGATGAGATAAATCACCTTAAATGGAAAAACGTGTAAATAAGAGTGAATGTAATGATTCCTAATCTCTTACACTCCAGCAGCTAACATGAAATTCCAATTAAACAGCCATGAACATTTAATGTATTCTTCATAGCATTAGTTAATTAATTATGTTTTTCCTTCTTTTTTGAGATATAGCCTCCCTGTAGATCCAGCTGACCTGTAATTGCTATGTAGACTAGGCTGGTCTTAGTATCACAGAGATTCACACACCTCCGTCTCCCAAGAGCTAAGATTAAAGATGTGCACCATCATGTCAGTCAATTACACATAATTTTGTATGAGCCGCTCACTTAACTCGATATACAAGAGAGGATTGTGCATTGTAGTGTGAACAATTGTTCACAATGTGTGGATGTACTAAGGCTTGAAAAGCTCAGCTGTAGAGAGGGGTATACTGGCAAACACCTAGGGAGGTGGAAGCACAAGGATCAATTTAAGGTCATTCTTTAGTGCACATGAATTTGAGGAGACCCTAGGCCCCATAAGCTGTGGTCACCAAAAACAGGTGATATTTATTTATAATTGTTATACCTTATGTTTATAATTGCTATACTATAAAGATGATGCATATGACAAAAATATTAAATTACTCTGAACTCATACACACATAGCAATATTCAGTCACACGAACACTCAAGACCATGCATGAATGTCAGAGGTATTTCATTCTGTGAAGGAAGTCACATATCTAAGTTCAAGACGCATGAGTCCATTTAGATGAAATTCAAGACAAGCAAAACTAATATGTACTTATAAATAAAGAGTATGATGGGCTATGTGGGAAATTTCTGTGAAAGAGAGACTAAAATATGGTCTGGGAGGGGCTGAAGAGATGGCTCAGTGGGTTAAGAGCAGTCACTGCTCTTGCAGAGGGCCCAGGTTCGATCCCAGCACCCACATGTGGGTTAACATCCATCTGCAACTCCAGTACCAGGGGATCTGACACCCTCTTCCGACCTTTGCTTGCATTGCACAACATGGGTGCACTTACATACATGCAGGTAATAAACTCATACATATAAAAATAATTAAAATATTTTAAAAATATATATGGTCTGAATCACAGTTACCTTGATTTGCATATATACACATATTCATTATTCTAGTTTGTAAGAACTGTGCACACACACACACACACACACACACACACACACAATTAAAATCTTTGAGTTAGGAGTCAGAGTGAGAGAGCTTAGCAGTTAGGAATGACTATACCCAAGAGATTACAGAAAGAAAACAAAGGAAAGTATAACTATGGAAATACAAAATAAGACCAAGAACACAAATTAAAATGACAGTAACCAATATACATCTTTTAGTAACAATCTTAAATATCAATGGTCTCAACTCCCGCAAAGACACAGGCAAGTGGAATGGATTAAGAAACAAAATCCGTCCTGTTGTTGTCTTTAAGAAACATCCCACCTTCAAGGATAAGTACCATAGGTACCACCTGAGAGTGAAGGGATGGAAAAATTATTCCAAGCAAATGGGACTAAGAAACAAGCAGGTGTTGCATTTCTAGTATCTGACAAAATACACTTCTAATTAAAACTAATCATAACAGATAAACAGGGTCACTTCATTCTAATCAAAGGTACAACTGACCAAGAATATATTACAGGCATTAACATATATGCACCAAACTCTGGTGCACCCAATTTCATAAAAACAGTACCACAGGACTTTAAGACACAGATTAATCCCAACTCGGTAGTAGGAGAGGACTTCAGTACGTCATTATCTCCAACAGACAGGTAAACTGGACAAAGACTAAACAGTGAGACATCTGAATTAAATGACATCTTACATCAAATGGACATCTACAGAATAATCCACCCAAGCACCAAAGGAATATACTATCTACTTAGCAGCCCATGCAACTTTCTCTAAAACTGAACACATACTGGGGAACAAAACAAACCTCAGCAAATACAAAAAGTCGAAATAATTCCATGCATTCAGTCAGACCACAATGCAGTAATGTTTATAATCAACAGCAAAAGAAATTCTAGTAACTACGCAAGCTCATGGAGATTAAACGAGACACTCCCGAATGATGAATGGGTCAAAGAAACCAAGAAAGAAATAAAAATATTCCCTTGATTACCTCCGAGAACTTAAAGGTAAGACCCTATTACTGAAAAATCACAGTTCAGACAGGACTTGAAGCAATGGAACTGTAACCGACCTAGAAGCCTTCTCCCTGGAAACTACCTCTCAAAGTTGTAGAGGATACTGTGCAAGCTGCTAAGGGAGAAAAGCAATTGACGGTGCAACCCAGCTCTGAAGCCTAATAACCACTACAGCTGGCGCAGAAAACTATCTTTATTGGTACAGTAGTGGCACTTATACCTAGGGGGTAATCAACAGCTATCTAATTAGTCCTAAAGCCCCCTCAATGGAAGGAAATATAGCCAAATACACATGGCAGGAGAGGTCATAGCTCCTGGAAAAACCCCTATCTTTGTCTTATCTCTAGACAAATGAAATTTCTTACTGTATGCTAAATATGCATCCTTATATTTATAGAGACATATACCATATGTCACTCATCAAAGAAGCTTCCTTTTGAAACATATGGAGGATATTACAGAGGTCCACAGCTGGTCACACACAGAGAATATATGTCTGAGAAATAATCAGTCCTAAGTGACACATCTACAGTGGAACTCTACTCCTAAGGCTCACGGAACATAACAAAACAGGGATTAGAGAGAATACTAACACATCCCTCAACTCTCACCAGCAATGTTTCCTCACACAACAAACTGTGATGCACACAGAAGGCCACAACTGCCTGTTTTAGAGAACAAGAGACTGCAAGGTATGTGTCGCTGGATAGGACTCCTATATTAAACCTCGCCCACCCAGGGCTCAGGGACCATTGTGGAACAAGGGCAGAGAGCTTGTAGGAGCCAGTGTTGGCGCATGAATATAATGAAACAACAGCTTTCAGGACACTGGAAACTTGCTCATACGAACTTGCAGCAATGCTGACAGCATGCACAAGACCCATGCTGACTCAGTCAGACAGAAATCCAGCATAGAATGAGGGAAATGGGTAGTAGGCCCCCATCCTAGCGGTGGCAGCTGATTACTGGCAACTGATTACTCCTGGATGAGGGAAAGTAGATCTTGTTGAAGGGATTGATTCTAGATAAGCTGACTAGACCAGTGGATGAACTTGCATCTAAGGGCATCTGGGTACAAATGTTTGGCCAGATAGAACTTAACATATCGACAGAATGTATGAAATCCAGTGAGGAGAACTCTGAATGGGCCAGGATGGGGAAAGGGATCTAAATTTGATTAAGATCTTATATGAAATGCATAAAAATTCTATAATAACTTTGCATTTTGCACTACCTCTCTATGTGACAATATTCTACATCTCATGTCTTTAGGTCTCAATTGCCCCAGTGAGATTTTGCCAAACCCAAATTGCACATATGCAAGTGGGTGTGTGGGTCAAACCTTCTTGGGACATTTTCCAGAGAGATTACTTTTCCATGTTTGTCTTAATAGTTTAAGCATAATATGTTTTTAAAATTTGTGGGCAAAATAAATAAATAAAATCTCCCAGGAAACAGTCTTACTAATAATGAACTTTATAGGTTAAATCCTGGATATCTCTGGTCCCTTCCAGAGATACTGTCAGGGCTGTGGGAGATTAGAGTGGCTACTTATCTCAATAGATAGCTAGACACATCTAGACACAGTGGTTACACCAGCCATGGCTGCAAAATAATCCCCATGGTTTGGGCATCAATGCATGAACATGCTATTCCCCCATATTAACTATTCTAATGTGGTGATTCACCCTGCAGGCCAGGAGGAATTCATTGAATAACATTGGCCTACTGTCTTTATAATAACAAAGTAGTGATAATCCACTGGATACTAGAGTTTGGGACGCTATATGAGCTTCAAATGTCTGTTTCCTATGGCTTTGGTATTATCTTTTCATTTTCTCTCTTAAATCTTTCCAGAATAATCTACAAGATGTTCCACATCCTGGTACTCTAGTTTGCATTGAGAAGGAGCCACAGAACCATTATCTACTATAAAGTAATCTTGCATCCTACTCAGACCTACACAATAAGATTACATTTCAGCAAGATCTGCAGGGCATATTCAGGCACAGTGAAGTCTGAATTGCATTTGATAAAACATTCTCAGAAAGTAAACACTGACCTTGGCCTTGGAACTGAAGAGAGACTTGGGGAAAAGATGGATGGGGAGGTGGGAGCTCATGAGGCATTGGTCTTCCTTTTTGTTTAAAAGCGAATATCCAACACTACTTTCTATCCAAGGTGAGCGCTCCCAGATAGGCACAGACTGAACCCACTTCGGATCCCCCTTGGTTTGAATCAAGCAGACAATCTCAATCAACCAGTTTGTTCCTGAACAAAGCAGAAAAGTTATGGTCACTCATTTCAACAATACTCTGGCGGGGGCGGACATCATGTAGAATATGCAAGTTGCAAAATGTACTGTTTTACCTGTTTCCAAGCACATACAACTGTGGTGTTGAATATATTCACATGGTGTATATGCTAAGAACATTCACTCATCAAATTTCCAGCTTTCCAACCTGAAAAGCTGTCTCGATGTTCATTAAACATCATTTTCCTAATTAACTTCCCCTCCGGTCCTTGGCCAACACAATCTACATACTGACTCTTGGAATTTGACTCTGCAAAATATTCCCCAAGTACAGAAATACATCATTTGTACTTTTTGGATGATGAATTTTATTTAACAGAATGCCACTGAGGTTCATTCATGAGAATGCTATTTCTTTTTTTAAGATATATGTGTGTGTGTATCTTGTATATGTGCCATTGTATCTATTAACCACATATATTTATATTCCTGTTTATGTGTTCATCTGTCAATGAATATTTCTCTAGCTTCCAGCTTTTGGCTATTCTCTGAAATCCCTTTAGTATATTACCATTGCTTTGAATTTTCAATGTCATTTTAACTTCAATATCATTGACTCAATATTTGCCCAATTTTCAGTGCTTCTACCACCCAGTCCCACCCTGAAACGTTTGTAACTCATGTGTTTTCTATTTCCGGACACTGTCCATGATAATTCTTTTGCCTGAAACTACCCCTCTCCTCCAAGCATTTTCATATTCATTCTTTTCACTTCTACTCAGATGTTATTTCTTCATTCGTATTCTCATTTTTTATCATCGTCTCTTCCACATAGAAACAGACCCATGCTTGGACCTATGTAAGGATCCACTGTCATTGGTTCTGGTAATACCTTAGCTGATCCCTTTTGAATATACTGGCTCAAGCCCTTTCTCCGAGTGAAAATGATATCAGAAACTGGCCTAGTGCTCCTCCAAAGCAATACTCATTGTCCTGTGTTTAATGTATCCTATTCATTAGCAGAGAGAATGAATACCAAAGTCACAACCTTTCTGCATTGAGTTTTTTACCTGATTTGGGATAAGTCAAAAGGAGCGTGTCTTCATCCCTTATCACGAACTTATCACGAATCTCTCTCAAGATTTCTGTTTCAGTTCCGATGGCAGGGAAGGGTATTCCTTCGAACCATATGTAGTCTGACATGGCAAAGAATTCTTAGTGTGTGGTGTTAGAGTTCTAGCTGTAGCCACCTGTGATGGGTATAACAAATGCTGAGTGGTAAAAATCTATGGTAAAGGCAAAACAATCATTAACCTCACCTCATTTATTGCAAAAGTTCTGTTGGTAAAATAGATACTATAAAGTACAGTCAAAGGTTATTTTATTACACAATCTTGAACTCTTTCACAGATTGTGGAATATGTGGAAAAGAGTTCATGCAGAGCAAGCAAAAACTCAAGAACAAGCACTTGTACTTCTACATTTGAAATATTTCTATATAATTTGTTTTCAGGAATTTTAAATAAGAAGAGAAATACAGAGATCATAAAGACAGCTTCCAGGGTTCGTTTTTATTTACACTTCTGTCAATGTTCTGTGCTGTGTTTTTCCTGTCAGACCCCACCCAGGACATGACAGAATCATCAGATTGTTGGGGGGTGTTTGTTTTAATTTTTTATTATTTTATGTGTATGTCTGTTTTGTCTGTGTGTGTGTGTGTGTGTGTGCACCAGTGCATGCAGTGCATAAAGAGGCCAAAAGGGAGCATTGAGTCCCCTAGAACTGGAATTATAAATGGTTTGTAGCCAACATGTGGGAACTGATGCTCAGTTCTCTGGAAGAGCAGCCAGTGAGCCATCTCTCTAGCCCCCAGATTTTTCTTTGATTTATTTTTATTTTATATGCATGAGTGTTTTGTCAGCATGCGTGTAAATGCATTGTGCACATTTAGTACCCCTAGAGGCCAGAAAGGGCCTCGGATCTGAAATTGGAGTTTCAGGTGGTTGTTAGTTGCAATATGAGCATTGAACCAAACCCAGGTCCTCTGCAAGAGTAGCCAGGGATCTTAGGTAATGAAGCTTCTCTCCAGCCCAAGCCATCAGATGAAAATGAATTATGACAACTTCTTATTTATTGTGTGTATGTGTGAAAATGCCACAGCACAATGGAGAGACCAGAAGAGTCAGTTCTCTTCTTCCACTATGTGGGTTCTGGGGATTGAATTCAGGTCTTCATGCTTGGTAGCAAGCCCCTTTACCCACTGAGCCATCTCACTCACCCTTACAATATCTACCTGGTATATATAACAATGACAGCTCAAGGATTATCAGGTATTTTGTAAAGTATTAAGTCAGGTGTTTTGTTGATTATCTCTCTACCAGAGTATATAATGTAGATATGAGATTTTGAAGCTTTAGAGAAAAATATAGAGAAAATCCTTTAAAATAAAGGCAAAAGCAAGGTTTTTCCTGAAAACTGTGGTATACTGGCCACTACTGTAGCAGGAAAGAGATTGGAAGGCCGTGGATGAATTATCTCTTTAGAATATGTGTGTAGGATGAGACTCCTATATGGAACCTCACCCACCCATGGCTCAGGGACTACTGCAGCAGAGGAGGCTGAAAGACTATAAGAGCCAGAGGGAGGTGGCAGCTTCCAGGCCCCTGGAAGCTTGCTCATGTGAGCCTGTGGCAGTGGTGGCATCAAGTGTGGGACCTGTGTCAGCTCAATGAAAGAAGGGTCCAAAGGGGAGATAAAAATAGGTGGCAGGCCAGGATTATGTTGAGAACTATTTGAGACTGATTGCTTCTGGGTGAGGGAGAGTATGACTTACATACGACCTCTGCATGGGCTGACTAGACTCCAGTGGATGCATTTACACTGAAGGGCACTTGAGTATAAACATCTGAATGAATGGGACTCAGCATGTACAGAAGAGTGCATAGGGTTCATGGGGGGGACAGAGGGAGGGCATGGATGGGGGAGGGAGGTCTGGATTTAAGTGGGAAATACTGTATGAAATTTTAAAAGATCAATTTAAAAAAGAAATGAAGAACGTGAATATAATATAAATTATTTAAAAGACTATGGAACAGAAAGGAGAGTTTATTATGCGCACTCCAAAGTGCAGTGAACTGGCCATTAACTAAAGTCCAGCCAGTTAATAAGATCACACCTGACCAAAGTGTAGAGAATAAAAGACTTCAGAGTGTGTGCCCCTGCATAGGACTCCTATATTAAACCTCACCCACCCAGGGTCAGAGACCATTGTGGAAGAGGAGGGAGAAAGATTGTAAGAGCCAGAGGTGGTGGATGACTACAAGGAAACGAGTTTTCCAGGCTTCTGGGAACTTGCTCATCTGACCTTACAGCAATGGTGACAGCATGTACAAGACCCATACAATCTCAAAACATATAAAATCCCAACATAGAACTAGGGACATGGGCAAGAAATCCCAACCTTAGGTGTGGCAGCTTATCACTGCAATGTGAGGGAGAGTTGGTCTTCCTTAAGGCAGTGACCGGAGATAGGCTGACTAGACTCCAGTGGATGAACTCCCACTAAGGGACATCGGAGGACACAAACTTGACTCAATGGGCCTTAGCATATATGACAGTGATACGGACCAGCCCAGACCGGGGAAGTTCAGTCCGACAGGAACAGGGTCGTCGAGAGGGTGGACAAGGAGTCGGCGAGTGACAAACAGACACAAAGGAGCTTGATGAAAGTCTGAGTGTGTTTTTTGCAGTTGCAAGGTTTGAAATATATACAGCAAAGATTACAAAAAACCACAGAACAGTCATGCTAAGATTTACAGTTCCAGAGGTGAAAGTAAGACATAATTTTGCCAACATATTTCCCTATCTTATCAACCTGACACTAGACAGTAAATTCCTGCTTTACTGTGTTTTTTCACTGCCAGCCTTTCTCACACACTTAAGATTCTGCTCGGCTTTGTAGTCCCAAGTCAGGATGGCCTTGACTCATTAAGCACCTCATTAAGCACTTCCAACACCAGCGGTGCCAGGTTGTTACTTTTTTAACTATTTGATAATATTCCTTGCTTGTTTGTAGTGGGCCATAGGG